ATCTTGCCACCTCGTTTTGCTTGTCAAGGATTTACGTATCTGGACACTATTATAACAAGCGTTATACTCAATTGAACAAGCAAAACCGAAAAACCAAACTGATGCTTGTTAGGCCTACTCGACCACCATCTTGTCTTGGTGGAGCTATTTTGGTGCTAAGAATGGAAAACAAGAAGAAATTGTGGAGAACTCTAACTCAAATTCTTTTGTTACTTGACTACTTCCTAACAACAAAAATGGTGCTTTAAATAAAACCTCATTACAGTACCATCACCACTAATGTAATAAGAATAAATAAACATAAAAACTCTAAAGACAATAACAAATAAATTAAACAATCTCTTAAATGATAATGAAAATAAATAAAGAGAAATTCTAAAACATATCATCAACCACGTACTTAGCATGTTCTGACTTTTAAAACAATATTCTTGCCCTGAACAGTGGTTACAATTTTATATATTATTTACTATTGGTAAATGATGGCATAGCTTTATTTTTCTCATGTCTTTCCCTTTCGTCTTCGTAAAATTTTGCAGGTCCTCCTTTCACATTTCTTATAAGAAGGTATGTATTGAACACATTTGTATATTTAAATTGAGCAATATTTGAAAGAACAAAACTCTCTCCTTTCTCACATCATTGAGCTTCACTTGAGCAACCTTATACCAAACCCATAACTGTTTCTTTTCTCACTTGACTGAAAAATTGAACTAGTTGTCTCCACAACACTAAACCAAACTGAAAACCAAATCCATGGTGACAAATTTCTCCATCTAAACTAAAGGCTAGTGTTCACTTTCAGAATAAACAGAGTCTGCAGAATAAACATGAAAACCAAACAGAAGCAACAAGTAACCAAAACTTTTTCTCAAGCCAGCGCCTAAGTTATCTTTAGTGAACCAATGGAAAATTTTATTAGAAAGAATAATAAGACAGCTATTTACACTTTACCTTCGGATCAAAAAACATCCTAGCAACAGCAGCAAAAATAATCAGTAACAGAACAAAAAATCTCTCTTACTGTACAAACCCTATCTGCTTACAAAATTTCCTAAATGCTAACGCTCAATAGAAGAGATCAGGCCATATTATTCAATCAAATGGATAGAGCGCAACGGTTAGAGCATTGTCTTTTGTGAATGTCGCCAACAATGAAGAAATTTCATCATCAACTGAATCATCAGCAGCCTTCAAGAACTCAAGATCAGCATTTGCATCAGTCATTGGAGAACTATATTCACTTTGGCCATAACTGAACAAGCTGTATTCCTTATAAGAGGAGTGCGGGGCTGAAATAATATCATCAACTAAAACTTGGGAAGCCTCCATGGGTATAATAGACTTGTTTGCATCAAGAACCACTGAAGGAGAACCTGCAAAACGACTTGATTCAGCTGATGATCCAAGGCATTGGCTCTGAGGAACACAGGGGCTAGTAGCACTAGTGAAGGCTAGTGCAGGCAAGTCAGTGGAAAAGACGTCCTCAACAACTTCGTCATCATCAGTCCAGTCCTCCTCTCTAAATGGTGTTCCATATTGGGCACCGTTTCTATGGCCAGGACCATCCTAACAGAAAATAACACAAGGAACGTAAGCATCCTGGACAAGTCCCTTGTCAAGTAGATCCTTATCTTTCAGTCTGTATTCATGCATAACCCAATCTGTTCTTTCTCCTTGCGGGGCTTTCCCTCTGTGGAAAACCAAAGTTTTAATACTCCCCACATCTTTGTCATTGTGACGAACAGGTCTATCCTTCCCAGTTGTCTTCCAGTACCCATAGACGGCGGCACGATTGAACCTACTTCGTTTCCATATTTCTTCTCCGTTGGACAGAAAAAGAACCACTTGAGATTCCCAGTCCTTAGAAGTGACTTGTCTGGCAGATCCCAAGGAGCGTACTTATATAGGTCAAGCTCAGCGATAGCTTCAAAACGAAACTTCTTCCCCAAAACTTTCCTCCTCAGATAGTATTCAAGAAGCTCAACATCAGTGGGATGAAAACGAAATCCAGGAGCCACTGAATTTTTTTCCATTGAGAACTGAAACGGAGATCAAAATAACTGAAACCCTAAAATCGAAATTGAAAAACCCTAAGAATCAGACCAAAAAAAGATAGAATGAAAATAAAAAACCTTCAATCAAGAAACTCAAAAGCAGAAACCGAAAGATAAGGAAAGGCAAAACGAAACCCTCGAGAACTTACGTGAAACTGAGAGAAAACGGAAAAAGAAATTGTAAGAGTGGAGCTGAAGATTTGAGAGAATGAAAAGCAGGGGATCGCCTGGTTTATAAACACGCGCCAACTAGTTACCTCGTTATGGAACTAGCCGTTGCGCCATTTTTTTTTTTTTGAATTTTAACTTTTAAGCCTTATCCATTTATAGTTTTAGGTTAAGCCCTTGCCATATTCTCTTTCTTTTTATTACTTCTTAAACCGCTTAACTGTTTACCTTTTTATGGTTTTTTTTTTTTTGAATTTTAACATTTAAAATACTTAAATATTAAAATATCAAATTACATATTAATCTCATTTCACAATTTTGAGTGAATCTATCCAACAAATCTAACCATCCTTTGAAATTTTCTGCAAATTAACTCAATTTACAAATCCAAAAGTTCAAATTTAATAACAGAGAACAACATTACCCAAATTTCATTCAATGGAAGAATTCAATAACTCAAATAAAATATCAATGCCAACAGCACTCTTCTGAACGAGTTTCAAATGAACAAATTTCTTACTAAAGAAAATGTAATCAATAATGATATGATACAATCAAGCATCCTTTACTCAGAAACTATGTAAGGGAGAAAAAAACCCAGGGAGGAGATGCCACGAAACGGATGGAACCAGAAAGCATTTTGGACCATCTCGTGGCCTAACCATCCTCCGATCGTAAAAATAGTCTTTAATTGGAAATGTTGCATGTACAACATCATAAATGCTTGGCTGCTTTCGATGGCAAACCCGTGTAAGATTTGCAGTAACTGCAATTTCAACCTGCGAAGACCTATCGGAGAGCCATCTCATGTCTCATGTATTGTCCATGTTGAAATCACTCTGTACAGTGTGCAATGTCCAAGATGGGTAGAACTATCCTATACCAACTCGTGGTAAACTTCATCACCAACAGCCAGCAGAGTTCATGACTGGAGGACCTGAGGTTAAAAATTGAAGACAACTCTGTTACAGTAGATTTTGCCTCTAGTCTTCCTACTGTGTTCTATGCCGATACAATTACAAATTCCTCAAACCAAGGAAAGACAGGCCACAAACAGACATGAATCATCCTTCACCCCCCCTCAAAAAAATCTCTTGTAGAAACCTCTGAAGCCATTGCCTAGTGAACCAAATATACTTAAACCATACAACGGTATCTTTTCCTGTGAAAACCTTCACCAGTCTGGCTTTACCAAAACAACGTGACAATATACCAAATCTGGAATCACAATATTCCATTCAAAACCCTCTGATAATAATCGTACTGCCTAGTCCGCCATGCATCCAAACTGCTGCTGATCAGGGAAAGCACCAATGACACACATTGCTGCAAAAAACCAACACATATTTACTGACCACCATAACGAAGAAAAGTAGTGCAGTATTAAACAGGACAAAAGCTTAAGAAAACAAACCTCTTCAGTTAAACTTAAATGGTATCGTTTTCTTAAGTTTTGTATTGTTCGCGGACCACCTTTGAAGCATGGGAAACCAGAATCCTAATACAAACAATAAAAACACATCGAGTAAATAAAGAACCTTTATTCTTCTTTCTACAAAATCACAAATTGCCTAATATATCTTCTAGGCACCTCAACTCTTTGTTTTCCTTAACTATATATGTTGTAAGCAAGCTAATGTACACAGGGAAAGTTCGGTCAGCATGACACATCAGGTACAATGCATTGCAAGTGAACTACAGCCCCAGTGACAATAGCAGACTAGCCCGTACAACAAAGACCACCCATCATATTCTTTAATTTTCATTTATGATTAGTCAATTATGCAAACATTAGTGACAAGCATAACCAAAGTTAACCAGAGGCCACTCTGGAACACATTCAAAGATCAGTATGAAAACTACCAGAACATTAGAAGGTCTCATCATGTTAATGTATAAAAGTGTAATAACTGCTGTACACAATGACCACCAATAAACTATAATCATGTTACCTGCAGCATTTCAACAAGAAGAATTATGCGCTCTGCATGCTTACGGCAGGTTAGGAAGCCTTGGATGCATAATACCTGAAAAAGAAGGGCAAAGATCAACACCAGTTTAGGACAAGAAGAATCTATACTAATATTCAACGTGGAGTTTCAGTTAGTACAGACCAACTTAGCTTCAAAATTACAAAAAAACAAACAAAATTATAAAGAAGTACATCAAGATTGGCCATGTTAGTTCTTTAGTGCATAGTCAAATTATGTCTTTATCATCCTCTTCAAGTTTTCATAACATTTCTCTTTAATGAGCAAGCAACTTAAAATAACTTCTGCTAATTTGTCTTGCTCTTGTCTGTCTTCCCCCCACCCGCCCCTCCTCTCCCAAAGGGGGCTCTTTTTTAAAACATTTATTGTTATAGGCTTATAAGTGTCAGTGTGCACAAGGCTAGTCATAAACCTATGCAAGAAAGTCAACAAACCACACAGGCCTTACACAGAGGAAGAACGAGTCATCACTACCTTAAAGTAATCAAAAAATTCACTTGGAACTCCCTCAGCATCAGAATCCATGACCTAGCACACCGAACACTTCAGGATTAAAAGCAAATCCAAAAGTAACTGATAGAATAATATCAGGACCAACAAAAATTGAACTATAAGATGGAATTCAAGTTCAGCAGACTTACCTCAAGAAGTTCACGGGTTAATTTGAATGGTGCACTCTCAAAATTTACACCACCCGGTGAATTGGAGAGCATGAAGCCAAAATCTATATGTATGATGTGACCGTCTTCATCCAGTAGGAGATTTCCATTGTGCCTATCCTTCACCTATACTTGGATAAATTGGCAAATTAAAAAGTGGACCGTAAAACATACTAGCTCATCAATTTGCACATGATTGGTGGGAATTAAACCCAACACTTTTTCCACCAAGAATCAATGCTATAATAAGCTTTCAATATAAAAATAATACCACTTAAGCAATCAGATGGCACTATCAAGTGCAGTTTTTATGCAAGCGAAGTTAGACTAATGATGCCGCTATCTACTCTGGAGACCCAAGGTAAATTCATTTTATTTTGATTTCTTTAATTTATTTTCATTTCATTTTAAGAGGGGAGAGAGCCAAAATGTAATTCTTCGTAGGCAGCATAACATGAAAATTTTTGTACCCTCACAACTACCTAACAAAAGTAAACAGCTTAGCCTAGCTCCATGTGTGGATGATTCAAAAGGGTTGCTAGAAACTGCCAAATAGACTTAAATGAACAAGCACAAATGGACTAAGCAAGAGCCCTATAAGGATCCTGCCTTAACCACCCAGTTTGGAGTCCAAAGCCAAATAATTGCTTCCAACCCTTTAATTTGTTTCATTTATAATTAAATACTAGTAATGTAACAGTGAAAACGATGTCAAATCCACTATCCTACAAACAGGTTCCATGAAGAAAATTACTTCTCTGCCACTCATAATACACAAATACAGAGTTTCTTTTAGCAAGCGCATTCAATTGATAATAGTTTTAGAAAAAACAGATCCATGCATGCAGAGCACAAATTAAGATTTCAGTAATTAGCATTGACAATTGGCTGACAAAGTAGTAGTAGACTAATTTCTTGGTTGCATTGAAGTTAATGAGCATCACTTGAAACGGAATGAGGAAAAAGAAAGCAAATAGCAAGAGTGCATTTTACAAAGAAAGCAAATAGCTAACAGAATGCTAATACACCAATTTTTAACAAGTGCATTCAATAGATAATAGTTTTAAAAAAAGGCAGATCAATGCATGCAGAGCGCATATAAGATATCGCTTATTAGCATAGACAATGAGCAGACAAAGAGGAAATTGAATAACTTCTTAGTTGCGAAGAAGTCAATGAGCATCACTTGAAACAAAGTGGGGTAAAACAAAGAAAATAGCAAAACAGAAAAGGTGTTTCATGTTGAATTACACCAAACAGTAAATCCTTTAAGCCAGCGCAATGTAGACATAGCTGCAGACAGCTACCAGCAGTGAACTTTCTATTACTAATAGGTTTACAGTTGAATTTAAATAGTATATTAAGGCTATTAGAAAGTGGTATCTGCCATCTGATCCATTTTATTCATCGCTTAACCTCTTAACAAGACCCATTAAATTATCCTCATTCCATTTGTGATTTATGTGACAAAATAGAACAGAGAAGAAATCCATATATACCTGCAGAAGATAGCACACAAGGGAATACCCAGCCATACTTTCAACAAAATTTCTCTGCAATAAAATACACTTTAAATTAAGCAATAGAATTATTCAACAAGTAAAAAATCTAAGCATTTTCTACAGACAAAATAAAATCACTATTTGACTGATTAAATCAGCATGGAAATGCTATATCAAATTACATTAGAAAATAATATAAGACGGCCAACAATTAGCCAGAACTATAAATAAGTTCTAATGCATCCAGAAAATACAAAAAACGAGCTTTTCAAAAAAAATACCAAAAAAGAAAAATAAATCCCAAAATTTCATTTACTCTAGAATGTCACATAGGAGACATATGCACAGAAGATAATAAGGCATATTAAGAGTAAGCCCTTCACATAACTCAGTAAATTCAATCAAATCAGCAAACCACTGTAAATGTTCATCTTTACTAAAACAAATGTACACAATATAGCTTTCCACAAAGGATCAATTCCTTACCATCCAACAGAACACTGCAACTAAAGTATCCTGCCCCTATATCCCATCATCACATGAGGCTTGGATTTAGCCCTCATGAATGTAA